TGTTTATACAAGACATTATTCCCCTTCCTGTGAGCATCTTCTTTGGCCTGACGGAGCTGACTGAGTTTTGCAGTGAACCATGGTTTGTCATTGTTGTAAGTGAAATGAGTTCTGGTAGGAATGCACATATCCTCACAGAAACTAATATATGATGTTATAGTCTCTGTGAGCTCATCCAGATCGGTGGCTGCAGATTCAAAAACACAAGTTCAATAGCACAAATAAAACCAACAAGAATTAAAAAAAAACTCTACAGCATGATCTATTCATGTTGCATTGCATGCTGGGTGCCTTCATAGTACATATGCACTGTAGAAACACAGCACGATGCTGTTTGTTTACAAGAAATTTCTGAGAGTGCCGTTAGATACAAGAAAAGTCTCACTGTGAAATTACTCTGAAAGTAATGCAATTAGTAACCTGGAATATGCTGTAATTTCACACTAAATGTTTTAACAGTGTATGATGCCTGCATGCTATTGGTCAAAATACTTTTCAGTAATTACCTTCAGCAAGCATGAAAACAACAGGAAAACGCCAAAACCTGGACATTTTAAGCAATTTAGAAATCCCAGCCAGGACATGTCCAGGAAAAAGAGGACGTATTGTCACCCTAGTATAGATAGATATGTCTACGTCCTAATATAGAAGGGAGTTTCATAAGCACAGACGAAGCAGGCTTGTAAATACCGCTCTGCTTCTACATGCCACAGGCTGGGTTATAAGTTGCTAGGTGTCACAATCACCAGCTGGAGTGCCCTTGATAACCACCAGAAGGCATTATATCCCATACTCAGTTGTCACTCAGTTTTGGACTTCATTTCCCATAATCCTTTGCCCAGACTCATCAGATCTGCATGTGTTAAGTACTGCGTTTTCTGAGCCATTATTTCCTTTGTCTTTTTTTCTGCCCCTTGTTCTGGATTACTCTTTGTCTGTTTCTATTTGTCATTGTTTGGGTCACATTTGTGGATTACCCTCTGAATAAACACTGTGTTTGGATCCTCAGCCTTCATGTCTCAGAGCAGTTCATGACAGAAAACTTCACTACTATGGATCCGACAGTTGAGTTAGTCCGCCTGCACCAAGGTAATCGTACCCTCGAGGAGCACATTCAGATTTACTGAGGATCGTGTATGTAGTGTCTTCTACTCCCGAGCCTCGTCCTGTCATGGCTGCCACTCCAGAGCCCCGACCCATCATGGCTGCCAGCCCAGAGCCTCTCCACAAGACGACCGCCAGTCCAGAGCCTCTCAATTCAATTCAAGTTTATTTGTATAGCGCTTTTCATGATACAAATCGTTGCAAAGCAACTTTACAGAAACTTAAGTTTCTACAAAATATTTAGTAGTAGATTATCAGTGGTGACTGTCAGTTAATGTACATATGGCAGAAATGTACGGAAAAATCAATTAAAGACGTAATCAAACAGAAGATGAACACTATTAACAGCAATTATTATGATGCAATCAAACTTATAGCAAAATGTGGTAGTTCTGTATGTTGTTTCAGGGTTGGCATCATTAAGATAGTCGAACTGTTCTTAGCATTAACGTGAAGATTTTATTTTAGCATTATTTAAGCACGAAGATTAATCAATAACTTATTTTATATTCATAACTGTTTGTGGATGGATCTTTCACAATAGTGATACAACTGCTGAGAAAAGTCTTTGAAAGATTTGACATCAATACTCGACATTCAAAAAACAACAATGGTAACACTCAACAAATAAAAACAACACTTACAACATAAACCAACAACACAAACTGCTAAAAGTGAACCAAAACAAGTTCAATAGCACAAATAAAACCAACAAGAATTAAAAAAAAACTCTACAGCATGATCTATTCATGTTGCATTGCATGCTGGGTGCCTTCATAGTACATATGCACTGTAGAAACACAGCACGATGCTGTTTGTTTACAAGAAATTTCTGAGAGTGCCGTTAGATACAAGAAAAGTCTCACTGTGAAATTACTCTGAAAGTAATGCAATTAGTAACCTGGAATATGCTGTAATTTCACACTAAATGTTTTAACAGTGTATGATGCCTGCATGCTATTGGTCAAAATACTTTTCAGTAATTACCTTCAGCAAGCATGAAAACAACAGGAAAACGCCAAAACCTGGACATTTTAAGCAATTTAGAAATCCCAGCCAGGACATGTCCAGGAAAAAGAGGACGTATTGTCACCCTAGTATAGATAGATATGTCTACGTCCTAATATAGAAGGGAGTTTCATAAGCACTTTGCATAAACTGATTTTCTGTATTTTCTATATCAGCTATAAATATTCACACAGAAGCAATAAAGTCCTTAAAAAAGTAATGCAAATACAAAAACTTGTAGACTTAGACTAATTTCAAATAAGTTTTATTTGTCATTATTTTGAGGACCTATACAGATTTTTTTTTCAGAATCAGAAAGAGCTTTATTGCCAGGTATGTTTACACATACAAGGAATTTGTTTTGGTGACAAAAGCTTCCACAGCACAAACAGATTACAGTGACAAGACAGATAATACAAATAGAATAAGTAAATAGGAAATAATAATATACAACAAATATTTAAAAAAATACACAATATAAAAATAGACAATATATTGCATTTGTGTGTACACATCTGTTATGTAAATGTGAATCAGAAGTATGGTGTTTGCTATAAGTTTGATTGCATTATATAATAATTGCTGTTAATAGTGTTCATCGTCTGTTTGATTACGTATTTAATAGAATTTTCCATACATTAACTGAGTCACCACTGATAAGCTACTACTAAATATTGTAGAAACCTAATTTGCTGTAAAGTTGCTTTGCAACGATTTGTATTGTGAAAAGTGCTATACAAATAAACTTGAATTGAATGTTTTCCCCTCATTTTTTTGTCAATAATGGATCATCTTTCCCTGAATAAAAAAGTATTATTGAGTGTTTATGCATATAAATTACATTACTAAATAGCACATCTACTAAATCCACATCTACTATACATAGTAGTTTAAGTATTTATTAAAAAGTTTGGGGTAAGGTGTGTCTGTGTGTGTGTGTGTGTGTGTGTGTGTGTGTTTTAAGAAATACTTATATTCAAGCATGCATTAAATTAATCAAAAGTGACAGTGAAATACTTATATTGTTATAAAAATCTATTTCAAACAAATGCTGTAAAATAAAATTCTTTTGAATTTTCTATTCATGAAAACAAAATTCTAAAACAAATAAATATATTATTGGTCACACAATTTTTTTTTTTTTTTTGAAATGATTTTGTGATTTTCCTTAAAATGTATTAAAATATATTTTCAAATACAGGCTATTCCAAACATAGGCTAAATAGAAATCAGTTATTTTTAATTGTAATATTATTTCACAATATTGCAGTTTTTACTGCATTTTTGATCAAATAAATGCAGACTTGGAGAGCATTAGGAGACTTTCAAAAACATGAAAAAAAACTTTTGAATGGTAGTGTACATGAAAGTTAATTTATAATCAATAATATTTTATTTGAGTGCAATGCATTAGTTTCTAACTAGCTGTTCAAGCTATGTGAAATAGATTATGCTAAACATCAGTTAAGAAGGACACAGTCAAATTCAACACAGCAAACGTATCTACATAAAAATGATTGTGATTAATTTTATTGACCATTCCAACAAAACAAATGTCATACAATCCATGCCTACCTTATGTTTTTTTCTTGAATTTCCTGTGAAAGATCAATTTCCTGTTCTGTCAGTACATGGAGATGAAGGGATGTCTATTAAATCGTCCAAATAGACAGCAAGCGAGCATGTAAACTCCTCCTACTTTCTACTGTAAACGTATACTCTCCATGTCCTTCATTGTTCTGCACTCATCTCATAGAAAAATCATCTCAAAATAACTTTAGATATAAAACACAAACAATCTTTCTTCTTGGCTTTTTATGATTTGGTCCACTGCCCTCTGTGTTTCATGGATCCACATTGGGGAAGGTACTAACTTTATTGTTTCTACTGATGCGTCTCTCGGGCCGAACTCTGGGCTGCTTGGTCTGGATCAACTCTTCTGGTGTGTTTCCCAAAGGAGGAAGGAGTCTTTTCTTACTGTTCCTGGTTTCAGGCAGCCATTGTGGCGGCAACTCAAACGGCCCAAAACCAAACTGTGTTGCATCCTCAGGGTCTGTGGGAGTCGCAGGGGCGACCTGTGAAGAGGAGTAGGCACAAGACTGAATAGGAGAATGTTTTGGTAACACTAAGCCCTCTTCTTTTACCGCATCCCCTGACTGCGGCTGATGCAGCTCCCTTGCCACCCCTCCATTTCTACCCTGTCCTTCATCTTTGGGTTGAAAGTTGGTGGAGGCCACAGAGAAAATTTCATTCTCAACTTCTTCATCCTCGTTTGGTCTGAAGATCTGTTGTTGGCCGATATTGAACATCTCCAGGAGTTGACTACCAGAGCGAACCACAGTCTCGCCCCCTAGTGGCCCTACTTCAGCCAGACCCCCAATGCTGACCATGTTCCTTCGGCTATAGCGCCGATGCAGGCGTGCTAGCATATCAAGCAGACAACGCCGCACAGAGCGGTTTACTGTGAGGAGAAATAGCGGGTTGGTGAGAAGAGAGACCTTCGGCAGCCACACAGCAGTCAGCTGTAACCAAGACGAGGGGTAAGGACTCTAGCCGCTGCATTTTGGATTACCTTGTGGACTGTCACCACAAGATGGCCACCAGTCCAGAACCTCTCTGCAAGATGGCCGCCACACCAGAGTCTTGAGCCATCATGGACACCACGCCAGTGTTCCCAGCTGTCATGAACGTTGAACTGATGTCCAGTGTGGCGGACCCACCGCTGATGTCAGTGCGAGCGTCAGGCATCCCGGTGACCTCAGCACTCATAAGCCCGGCGATCTCAGAGGTTCTTCCACCTTCTGCTGCCCTTCCAGTAATGGCAGTTGCCATTTTGTGTGTCTGGGATAGGCACGCTTCAGAGGCAGCAGCGTCCGCTCCAGTCCACGAGTCCGTTCCAAAGTCAGCTCCAGTCCATAAATCCGCTCCAGAGGCCACTCCAGTCCATGAGCCTGTTCCAGTCCATGAGTCCGCTCCAAAACCCGCTCCAGTCCATGAGTCCGCTCCAGAGCCCACTCCAGTCCATGAGTCTGCACCAGAGCTCACATAAGCCTTAGAGCTCAGTCCTGTGTTGGTGCCAGTCTGTGAGTTTCCTGCCTGTCCGGTCTCAACCACAGAGGTCACCCTTGAGCTGCCGGACTTTCCTGTCATGGTCAAGGAGGCCGTCTCTGAACTATCAGCCTGCCTTGTCATGGCCAAAGATGCTGTCTCTGAACTGTCTGCCTGTCCTGTTACGGCTGCAGAGTTCGCTGTTAACCCCTTTGTGCTCTCTTTTGGTGTCCCGCCTGATCCGCCTTGGTGGTCTCCTGATTCATCTGCTCCACTTTGGTGGACATCTGCTCAGCCTGAGCTATCTTGGTGGTCCCCTGCACTATCAGCTCCATTGAAATGGTCCTCAGCTCCACCCTGGAGGTCTTTTGCTCCATCGTGGGGATCTTTAGTCCAGTCTGCTCCACCCTGGTGGTTTTCTGCTCTGCCTGCTCCATCCTGGTGGTCTTCTGCTCCACCCTGGCTCCCCGATTCCCCTCAATCTTCAGTCCTACTTCCTGTCCTTGGGCCTGGCCCTTCATCCATCCCCCTGTTCTGCCACTGCTCCACCTCCCTCCTGGAAGCTTCTCCTTAAGGGGGGACTATGTCACAATCACCAGCTGGAGTGCCCTTGATAACCACCAGAGGACACTCCATCCCATACCTCTGTCACACAGTCTTGGACTTAATTTCCCATATTCCTTTGCCCAGACTCATCAGCACTCATTGTTTGCTTCTGTGTCTCATTAACCCTGCCTGCTCACCCTATATATAGCCCAGTTCATTCAGTCATCGATTGTGAAGTTCTGCATATGTTAAGTACTGCATTTCTGAGCCGTTATTTCCTGTTTTCCTGTGTCTTGGTTGTTTCTGCCCCTTGTTCTGGATTACTCTTTGTCTGTGTTTCTTGTTATTGTTTGGATCATGATTGTGGATTACCCTCTGAATAATCACTGCATTTGGATCCTCAGCATTCGTGTCTCGGAGCAGTTCATGACACTAGGCAACTCTAGCTAAATAAACCCTTGCCTTCAATTTTGAGGTATTTATTTTAACTGAATTTGAGAGACATGTGCTGCTTCCATCAGACAATTTAACTAATGCTTTGAAATTCATGAAAATAGCATTATTTTAAAAAATGTTTTTAAGAGTGCCATGTAAATGGATGACAATCAGTGTACTTCCAAAGAACGCTTTTGCTTGATGTTTTTTGTACATTAAAGCATTGTGGAAAAGAGCACAAGTATTATGTTAATTCCACATAACAGTTGTAGTGTAGCTCAAGTAGGAATCCAAGCTAGTGGTTTCTGGATTTGAAAAACACATTAAACAACTTTAAAATACATCAAGACTTTTAATTAATGGCACTAAAACTGGCATATGGGGGAAAACAAGCTGCCCTCTTTAATACATTTTTTTTCTTCTCAGTCACATGCAAGTGCTTAATCTTTAGCTTTGCTTTTGCCATAAAGGGTGATTAACTCAGAGAAACAATGTTTCTTTTTATGAAAATGTGTTTAATGAGGATAGATGTACTTGCATATTGAATATTGGTCAATTATTGAGGAACTCAGTAGAAGAAATTTAATGAACCAATGACATAAAATAGATGTGGGTATTTTATGAACATTTTAATGTCAAAACCGTGTCCCTTTATCGTCAGCATTTAATTTAGCTTTTTAAAGACCTAATCTTTATTGTATAATTAGACAGATATGATTGAAAGAAGTATTTTTTCTACTCTAAAGGAGGTAGAGCTTTTTCGCATTTGGCTCCCAAACTCTGGAATAGCCTTCCTGATAATGTTCAGGGTTCAGACACACTCTCTCTGTTTAAATCTAGATTAAAGACACATCTCTTTGGCCAAGCATTCAAATAATGCATCTCATAATCTTGTACTGCAGTTATATCTGATCAAATGCACATTATTATACTTTAGTTTGGGTTAAACAAATCAATTTTGCTTGGTTGGAACAGCAGCTACGCTAACTATGTCTCTATTTGTTTCTCCGTTTTTGCCACGGGGAACCACAGTCTCGCCCCCTAGTGGCCCTACTTCAGCCAGACCCCCAATGCTGACCATGTTCCTTCGGCTATAGCGCCGATGCAGGCGTGCTAGCATATCAAGCAGACAACGCCGCACAGAGCGGTTTACTGTGAGGAGAAATAGCGGGTTGGTGAGAAGAGAGACCTTCGGCAGCCACACAGCAGTCAGCTGTAACCAAGACGAGGCTTTTGCAGCCCCCAGCACTGAACGGTATATGACCAGAGCTGCGTAGGGAGTGCTGCACAGCGCGAAGACTAGAACGATGGACAACAGAGTGGCATGAAGTTCAGCCTCGCGCTGAGACACATACGGGATGGAAATGCTGTTCTGTGGGGTGCGCAGTGCCGCGATGATCACTTTCTTCTTCTGGCTGGTGCTTAGTGCGCGGCGGATTAGTGCCATGGCTAGAAACACCACTGCTAGTGGTAAAATGAGTGTGGTGATACTGTATGTGATCATGTAAACCAGATGTCCAAGTGATTGGCCGTCAGAACAGGAAGAGGTGGCGTAGACATCCGTCACATTGCTTACGGCAAAAACAGGGGCGCTGGCCACCACCGCATGCACCCAGATATAGATGACCAGGTCTCTGGATTTGGCATCTGATATCTTTCTCTCCAGAGGATACAACGCTGAGTAGTACCTGGAAGTGAAACAGGGAAGGCACCACTGTTAAGGTGCAGTCACATTAGCAAAATTTTGGTAAAATTTCAAAGGCAAAAAAGGTCCATTACCTATTGTTAAAATAGACAAACGAAGCACAGCTCACACAGAATTAATTTTCAAACCAAGCAGCTTTCTGTTGGCTAATGTTCAGGGACTGGACTGTACTAGTTAAGCTTGATGGTTTTGATTCACTATAAAGAATCAACTCATAGGAGTCATTCATTTGGGAATCAGTTGGAATACGCTGGTCATGCTAATAAGTTTGATTTATTTAAAATAACTAGTTCATAAGAGTCATTTATTTAGAGATCGGACTATACAAGTTGCACTGAATGATACTGACTAAAAGGAAGCGACTCATAAAAGTAATTTGTTTGGGAATCAGTTAGACTACACTGCTTGTGCTGAAGAGTTTTGATTCAGTTAAAGAGCCTGTTTTGCTTAGAGATCGGACTATACTAGTTGAATGGTTTAGATTCACTCAAATCTGACTACACTAATTGTGCTAAATGTTTTTTGTTTAAATAGAATTTGTTCTGAATATGAACTAAATAAGAACATTTCCTTTCCCAGCCCTATTTAAATCAGTTACATAACAATAATACTTTTTAGTGGACTAAATTGTTTATAGCACAATTAAACTGCTTTATGTGTGCACAAAAAGACATAAATAGATTGATTAGATAGATTCATAATGAAAACCCCAGGAAAGACACAAAAGGGAAATTTTTAAAATATGTAAAATCAGAAAATAAGTTAAGTTTTATTATGTGATTTGTGTCTGCATGGTGCATGTATGTTTTTTTTCTGAAGTGAAAACAATGTCTCAAGAAAGGCTTCTGTGCTAAGCAAAATAGATTATTCAATGAACTGATAAAGGGTCTGGCGGAGTAGGTAGCTATGGAAGCACTAGTCTGTGAAACAGCTGGTGCCCATGGGTTGACTACAACTGTAAGAGTTTTCAGATTTTCTCAAGAGATCATTCACCATATTATCATCTTAACCAAGCGTTTTAATTACTGTTTGGTTGAGACCCTTAGTGACCTCAAATCTGAAACAATTACATTTTAATTGTTAGTAAAAGATGAGTGAATTAGCATGCATGTCCACTCACCTATCCAGGGCGATGACAGCAAAGCTGAGCACAGTGGCAGAGCAGAAAAGCCTGTGTAGGAACTTGATGGCTTTGCACAGCAGGAGCGTATGGACCCATAGGCAGCATAGGGGACTGGCACTCAAGGCTATGTCAAAGGGCACACACACCAACCCAGCACAAATACCAGAACATGCCAGGTTCTTGATGAAGAGATTCGTGACTGATTTGAAGACATTGGTGTAACAAGTGCACCACAGCACTGCAGTATTGCCTGGGGACGAAGAGATGAAAAGGAGAAAAGGTTGAGGAGGGTTACAAGCCTATGTCAGTATCTAAGGACACAACTGAATGTGAGTGGGACATGAGCAGCCCTCATCTTATTGTCTACAGCAGTTCCCATGGCAATGAGGTACCTAAAGGTTGCACGCTAATTTGAAGGGGGGAAAAAAAGCCTTGTTCCCTTTGTGGTTCCTGTAAGCAACAGTATGGCATTCTAATGCTGCTGTGATGAACAAACAAAGCTCACAGCACGGTATAAGATTTGAGGAAGAAGCAAAAGCTTAGCATGCACAGACATAGAAACCAAGTGTTTCTAATATTGAGATGTTCACATGAGGTGGGACACTTCTTGGATAATTAATTTTATTCTGGGTTCAATACTGGGTTTATTCTGGGTTGCACATAATATACAGTACCTGTACATACAAAAACTGTCTATTGTAATATACCTGCACATACAACTGTCAATTTATATATTTTTATTCCTTATTTACTTGTTCTATTTTTTATTATCTGTGTTTTTTGTTCCGTCACTGTCATTCTGTTACACTGTGGAAGCTTCTGTCACGAAAACAAATTCCTCATATGTGTAAACATACCTGGCAATAAAGCTCATTCTGATTCTGATTCTGATACATGCTCAATTGAGAGCAATTGTAGCATGATGATTACCACAAAATTAAATGTCATCTCTATAAAAAAAGGGTTATAGTAAAGCACTTAAAATTAAAGTATCACTGTTTTTATTTTAACTACATACAATTTATCATGTAAAACCCTAAAATTCCTATAAAAATTATGATTTAGCTTTACAGGTTAAAGGGGTCATATGATGCGATTTCAAGTTTTCCTTTCTCTTTGGAGTGTTACAAGCTGATTGTGCTTAGATAAGATCCCTGAAGTTGCAAAGACTAAAGTCTCAAAACCAAAATAATGATCTTTAAAAAAGCATCATATGACCCCTTTAAATAACTCACAAGTTATTACAGGAAAGTGTTTTAATATAGTTATAAACTTTACATTTCTGCGTTTATATACAAACCTGGTCCTATTTACTTCCACAGTCCATGAGGGACCATTTGAAAGTCAAATGCTGTCCATTGACCTTAACTTATACTGAACCCATACTATTCTTTAACATGACACATGACAACACATCTGTAACTGATAAGCATTTCCATAGTTTGCTTCATTTCTTCATACCATAGATAAGCATTTAAAACAATCAGAGAAAGCATGTAAAAAAGTATTACTTGGGGCTAAATGGAAAAAAGTGGAAAGTGGAAATCTATGCAAGATTCATTTACTTTGAAGAAATGATGCACGAACATGATGGAATTCACACGGCTTGAATTGAAATGGAGCATGAGGTGAATCTTTCCTTGGATGTTGATGTGAACGGAGCACTTAGGTGACAGGTGCTCTCTAGCCAGACCCGTTATTACGCTTGACACACTTTTGGAAGGTGCATCTTTTCCGCAATGACTGTGACTTTCATCTTTTCCCATTACCATACAGGTGTAACAGGCAAAGCACAGTGGAATCCATCTGCAGCTGCCTCTGTGTTATTACTCTGGTGACATTTTGAGTGCACACTGACAGTGCCGGATAATTGTCCATTTGTTCCCAGAAGTCTCCAGTATGCCCGTGGCTAATAGTGTTATTTAACTTCACAGGGGTTCCATTAGTGGTTTCTCAACTCTTTCTAATATGTTTGAGAATTTTGAAGTGTGAGAATAGATGTTGGCTAACTTAGCTGTAATTATCATGCCTGATTAATCTTAATGATGAAAAATCACTCAAAAGTAATGAAATTGTCAGATCAGAAGATTATCAAACCTTGCTGTGTTTTTAAAGGGATAGTTCACCCAAAAATGTGTATTCTGTTATCATTTACTCACCCTCATGTCGTTCCATACCTGTATCACTACTTTCTTCTGTGTTCCACATAAAAAAAGAAACAAGTTTGGATGATCATGATAATGCCATGAGTGAATGATAACAGAATTTTCAATTATGGATGATATAGCCCTTTAAATTCTTTGTTTGAGAATTATTCAAAATGTATGCGTTGGATGCATAAGCAGCAAACAGACAGATGTTAGTGGAATATTTGCAGGAAAAAACAACTGTATTTTTTAATTTGGAAGGAGCATGAGCAAAGCAGTTTGCTAAATGAATGCCAAGGATAAAACTTGAGTGAAATAATGACTAACCCATTGCCACAATGACTTCCGTAACTAGTAATCACAATGAATGTCTGAAACGCAAAATTCCCAACTTTTCTGAAACTTGAGCCCGAATCCAGTGCAGAAACAGATTATCAGATTACGATCATTTATACTAAGCGTTCTGCAGGCTAATTAGTCATGTGATGGCTCGTTTGTTTGAGTCTGACAAAATTGCCTCCCTCTGACGTAGTTCAGGAAAAAAAAAACAAGAACAAAAGGACATTATACTAGTATAAACAATGCTAAAATCTCATTTACTGTGAGAAGGCTCTGAATACTCCTCTTTCTCCAAATATTGCATAATTTCTATAAGATTATCAGTCGTGTTCTACAGCACCTGTAATCCGTGTAAACAAAATATAGTCTTTTTTGTCCCAGGTATCATTGTCAGAGTGAGCGGCTGTCGTGTAGAAAAAAGCCTCCTTAGAACCATGGCATGTGACTGACTGAGGAAACATTACACATTTCTGTTTGTATCAGTTGAAGCATGAATGAACCAAACAACATCTCATTTCTTTGTTTCTGATTTGTGGCATGATCACTGACTTCTAGATGTGATAGTCATTTTGCTGCAATGTGTAAGAATTCACACAATCATCTTAACACAGTGCAGGATCTCCTCCAGTCGTGTCACCTCTTTATCCTGAACATCACCCCACAGACCCACCGGAGACGACGCGTTTAGGAAACCCAGATTAGATGCGTTTAAACTTGTGGTTCCGTTTTCTGACAGAGGAAACCAGCTCTCCGCGTTATCCGCCTCCATCATCATTCATATCTGAGGCGCCACCAGAATTCTTCGGCTCTGGTCTCGCCGCGCACACGTTATTGGTGAACAGGGCTCGAGCGTTATGATGTTGTGTCCAACATGATTAACTCGCGAGTTTTCTCCAGTTCCTCAAAATGATCGAAAACGCAAAGCATCTTTAAAAAAACGCTGGACGGAGATCGTTCTCGATAATAAAATATCCCATACAGGACTGCACATTGCAGATCTTGTCGCTAAACAACGGCCTTTTCAGAATCGCGATACTGAAATTAATATTTGCGATATAAAAAAAGGCATAATTTTGATTACACAGTACAGATCGCATATACAATGTCATTGATGGAGCGATACGACAGTGACACGCGCTTGTCTCGCGTCTCACAACTCAACTTCATTTCACTAGCCGTGTGAACAGACGAACATAACATAATACGGGTTATATACAATATTTCGCGAGCATTGGGTTACTACAATATGCAACTGTATGCTAATAATAATGTCTAAACAGTGTACGATAAACCATAGAGAAAATGCCAGAGAAATTACCAACATACCCGTATGAGATCGTTATGAACGATCATAGCCATATCCAAGTGTCAAAAAACGATTTTTGGTAAACGCATATCACGCTAAATATCGAGTCAGTGTGTGATCTGACAACTGGGCTTTAGCGAACAGGCTTCATTGCGAGTGACAATAGCGCTTTATTGCTTCAAATGAACGGTTGCTTCAAAACGTTATTTGAGCAGTTTTCATTATTGTGAAGTAAATAATTTATCCAGTGAGCAAAACGCCAGCATGTAGCCTACCGAATCCACACGTTAAACTATTTCCTTGCAGTATATCTACTGAGTGTGCAAACCTCCCACTGCATTGAATTTGTCTACATGTTGCTTTTGTTTTCTTGTTCTATAATAAGAAGTCTAGTGGTCCTTGGTCAGGGGAGATTTTAGACAACACATGAGGAATCTCTAAAGCCTGCATGAAATGAGACCGGGGCTAGTTGTCACACAAGGATGTTGTCAGAAGGGTTAAGCAATATTTCAGTAACTAGAAGGTATTGAGTCAAAAGTCCAGTTACACAATTGTGTGTTGTTTTCTAGAAGTTGTTTTGGTTTCACCTAATTCAAAACTATACTAGCCTAAATATTTGTGAATTCTACATCTAATACAAAAGTGATGCACATGCTTCTCCAGCACTGTGATTTTGCAGCAAAAAGGACCATAAATTATTTAAACTATTTTGTAGTTTACTAAGCATTCTCTTGACCTAATTTTTAAATTAAGACCATTTTTCCCTTGACAGCGATTGTAATTGAAGGATGCTGCAATATTATTCTCTGCACTAGATACCATCTTCTGCTATCCAGACATTAAGGGACTTTCCACACGCTAATTAATTCTGACATTGTCCAGTAAATACTATTAAAACATAATATAACATTTAAAAAAGTTCATGAATAGAGTAAAAGAGCTCTGAAGCTCACATACAATGCTACAGGCCCTAACGACACAGCTAGCAACCAACCTTCATTTCAATAATATAGATTTTCTCTGTTGTAGAGCTCACTGGCATTCACATAAGTAATTCTTGTTTTTATATAGGCTAGAAAAAAATTATTTATGTACTTGCTTTTTAGTAACCTAATGATCTGTTTCTGCAAAACTGAAGACTTTTCAGTGTCATTACCATTATTTGATTCACCTTCGGACAATATTAATATTCAAATTGTGACCCATGCTGGCAAAAAGAGTAGGAATGCGCTCGGGCTAATTGAGCTACAGGCAAAAAGAAAGTGAAAAATGTAGATTTTGAGATTTTCACAAACATGAGTTAAAGGGATAGTTCACCCAAAAATGAAAATTTTTATCTGCTTACTCCCAGGGCATCCAAGATGTAGGTGACTTTGTTTCTTCAGTAGAACACAAACGGAGATTTTTAAGAAGACGCAAACGCGCTCAGGACAGTTCAAACATTGAGGTGAAAATCAGAGGTAAAAAACGATATAAATACTGTTCAGTTTCTTGCACAGACTGATCGATTCATGTCTTTACACATCAATGTATCGTCACGAGCCGCAGGGTTTAATTTGGTTTTGTTTGTGTATGTTTTATGACTCTCAAAGCCGTGATTCCCATCCACTTACATTATACGACTGACAGACTGCAACGGTTTGAGTTAAAAATCTCCGTTTGTGTTCTACTGAAGAAACAAAGTCACCTACATCTTGGATGCCCTGGGAGTAAGCAGATAAACATCAAATTTTAATTTTTGGGTGAACTATCCCTTTAAGCTCTCGTATAACGGTCTCAATGCTCCAAATAATAATTTTAGATGTTTAATTACCTTTATTTTTTCGTTTTCTGAGAGAAGTACCTTTTCTCCGCTCGCTTCTCACGCTGACTGTCATCCGAAGCGCGCACGATCCCGATAAATATACACAGAATTACAGTATTTAAGTATTCACACAAATATAATCTGTAATGTCTTAAGTGAAAGTATGGGGAACTGTTGGGGAAAAACATCTGATGTATAACATTATATTAGATCTGTGCAGTACAGTAGGTCTTAATATAGGCCGCCTCATTAATGTTAATCTAACAATAAAAGAAAAGAGAGAATCACCTGCTGCTCATTGAACTGCTTTTGTAGTTTTAATAATCAGTTTATTTGTAATGAACACACTAAAGGGATTTTTACATTTGATTATTTGTTTTTTCTTACTTTAATGCATTTGTTTATATGTAAAATTAAAAAGGTAGGCTAATGCATTATTTGTTTCTTTCTTATATTTGTTCTACTGGGTTTTTTTTTTTGCATCTGTTCTTATTTATAATAACAAAGATAAAATAAAAAAATAGCTATATTGTGATTATTAATTATTATTAAGAAAAGAACTGGAGTAAAAGATGCAACACTGCAGGTGTTTTTGCTTTGGAACCTTTAGATAACTTTAACTCGATTTTTCTCAAAATTGACTTTGCTGACTCTGTCGACATCAAACGGGTGTAGCTCAGTTATTTTCGTCTGATTCCAACAAATCATACATCATTCTGAAGGTCTTTTAATGGAGAATGTGAACATAAAAATAACTAATTTTTGAAAATTTGCTCATTGTGACTCATTTTGCCAGCACAGGTCACAATTAATATTTGAATTATTCTGTGATTCCCCACTCAAGAACACAATCATCTGTTCACATGTCATGCACTGCAGATTATAGTAACAGCTCCTCTGTAAATATAAAAATAATCTTTTCCAGTTAATCCACATGCAAGAACTCTTAAGAGCTTCCTCTTAAGTAGTCCGGGTTAAACGGCACAGCCCACTGGAGGGTGTCCTTATCACAGTGCTCTCTAAAAGATTTGCAATAAGTACCACTGGAGGTTTGCACAGAGAGGATCTCAACGTTAAAAAAACCCACTGATGAATACGAAAGAAAACAATCATCAGCGCTCATCCAGTGAGAATCACTTTCATGTTCTGGTGCATGTGAAATAATGGCAGCTATACTGCAACAAACTTAAAGGGACAGTTCACTCAAAAATTTAAATTCTGTCATACTCGCCTTCATGTTATTCCAAACCCATACGACTATTTCATTTTTGGAATACAAAAGCAGATATTTTGTAAAACCTTTTGACTTTCATTGTATGGACCGTTGAAAAATGCTGAAACAAAATCATCTTGAGGGTTGAGAGTAAATGATTACAGAATTTTCATTTATGGGTCAACTATACCTTTAAATCATAATATTGCTTAATACAATGGTAATGTTTAGTGTTGTTGTGGCACAGAACGATTAATTTGGATTACTGTCTTCCTAATAATCATTTGTGGATGTTGTCTAGTATTCCACTGACCAACACATCTAAATTATAATATATTTATATAAAATAATTAAACTAACAATTAAACATACAAAATCATACAACATCATCTCAAGATATCTAGTTGTATTTTATTGGAAGCTCTGGGTAATACATAAAAGTGTAAGTTGCATACAGTAGCTCACTTGTAACCAATGCCCATAGTTGCACATCTCCATCACAAAGTCTGTACCTTGATAGAATGTTTATCTAGACAAACATTCTTCTGGAAAGAAAAGATTGAGGAGGAAAACAACCTGTATTTGCCCCCCACTAAGGCTGAAGATTTCTTTAAAATGAAGGCACCAGAGGCTGTACAATAAAACAGACCTAATGTAGAGATACTGACAAGAGAGAATACTACAGGAATCCAGATAAACAAGTATTATCACCACTATAAGAATTTCAATCCATTTGATTTGATCGACTTAAAATTAGTGTTAAGTTATAATGCAAAAATGCGGCACAGCAGTGAAAGTGCACTGCTGTTCAAAAGTTTTTTTTTATTTGAAAGAAATTAATACTTTTATTCAGCAAGCATGCTTTAAATTGATAGTGACAGTAAAGAATTTTTAAATTGTTAATTCAGCATTGGCATCACAGGAATATTACATTTTATAATAGATATAAATAGAAAACCGCTATTTCACAATATTAATGAAAAAAAATAAGCTTACTGACCCCAAACTTTTGAATGGCAATGTGTGATAAAGAAACACACAAATATGAGTTTGATTTTACAAACAATTTCTCCATACTCTGTATGAATGATATAAACATATGATTTTAAGCAAATAATACATGTGCTTCATTCAGTTTGATCATTTGTTAATTCTTGACTACTTAACTACTTTAGAAATTAAGGTAATTCAAGTCAACACTAATTGGATATTATGACTATGATATGGACTTTATACAGTCATTTATACAGTCAAAGTTTTGGCAGTGACAAATTTTGTTATGCAAAGTTTGCTGCTTAAGCTGTTGTGGTATTCATTCACATTGTTTCTAGATTATTGTGTAGAGTGAACAGATGCATTTTAAATAATTGTTAAAAGTTTAATTGGCCAAAAAATGAACTTTTCACAAAAAAACAAATTTCACTGTTTTTTGATCCTGAAACTGTCTGGGACATTTGGAAAATCAATTGTTCGGAGACGAAAAGATGAACGCTACCATGAGTCCTGTGTTGTGCCAACAGTGAAGCATCCTGAGACCATCCATGTGTGGGGTTGCTTTTCAACCAGAGCGAATTGCAGAGGTTATGAAGAACAAAGGGTCAACACTGTAAATATTGACTCATTATATATATTTTTTGCCAATAAAAGCCTTTAAAACTTATATGCTTATCATTGTTTTTCAGTATACCATAGAAACGTGGAAAAATAATCTACAAATACTGAAGCAGTGAACTTTGCAAAACACAAAATTCGTCACTGCCAAAACTTTTGGCCATGACTGTATTCCCTTTTTCTTACAGTATAGATATGCAGTTGTCATCAGCAGCAGCTAAGTGTTTTTTGAAAAAATTCACCATCCTCTTCCATGTGTCCAGCTGAGCCTCTGAATGGGCCTTAGGTTCGCCGCCAAAGTAAACCACTTGGTTAGCGGCAGCATGAAAATTAGCAAGACAAAACGGCATATAGGGAACCTCAATAAAGTGACCTGCTTTTTCATACCTCACCAGCTCGTAGTTATTCTTCCCGTGTGCTTTAAGTCTGTCGCATGCTAGTTTTGCATAATAGGCACTTTGCCAATTCCTGTCAGCTTCTGACATTATAAACATGAAGTTACCTGAGGCACGTTCAATGGGAATAAT